TTTATCATAGATTTTAAGAGCTGTATGTGAACAATCTAATGCTTTAGCATATTCACGTTTATCTTTGAAAATCGCGCCAATATTATTTAAACACGCACCAATATAATGATGATCCTCTGGCAGTTGTCTCTGACGTAATTCATAGGCATATGTATACATTTCCAAAGCTAAATTAAACTGATTTCGTTCACGATATATATGACCCAAATTATTAATTGCACTTGCATAATCTTCATCACTTTCTGGTACAGTTTTTAATAACATTCGAAAATACTGTTCAGCTTTTTCTAATTGTCCCAGTTGAATAAAAAGAAGGCGACCAAACAAGATCGCTGGTGTAAACTGACCTAATTCTTGTTTTATGCTCTTTATATATTGTTTTATATCATTTGAACTGTCATCTTTTGTTTTCATACTGATTTTCCACACATTTAAATCTCTATCAAATTCAACTGAATCAATTTCAAAAACAGCACCAAAACTTCTTGTTCATCTACTATACGGCTAAATTTTTCAATATCAGCAAATATTACAGATGATCTTGGGATTGTTCTCTCGTCAAAATCCAAAACAATCTGTTTCTATTTATGTTGCCTCAGCAAATTGGATAACAAATGTATCTGAGAGCGTTACTATGTCTTCTGGATGTTTTTACTCTTTAATGATGCTGTAAACGTTGTAAAAATATTACAAAAACAACTACTTATTCAAATTCAGTATGTGAAAACTCATGGTTTTCTAAAAGTCCTATATTTCATCAGATTTTGAATTTTTTCTGAAATGGGCAGTTTCTTTAATTGTGGATGATCCCTAGGTAACATTTTATGCTCCATTTTAAAACTACATTTATAATAATCATATGCACGTTTATAATCTCTTTGATCTTCATAAATTGTATCGAAGGTTTATGGTGCTCACAGAAAATGTATGCGCGAAGAAAAACCGACCAAACTTATAACACTATGCTCAAGCTTATTGCTGAATCACGTGCGAACTTTCGAGAAAAAGACATTTCCTTGAAATTGTTCCGAAGATTCTGAAAATGTTTAAAGGCTTACAAGGACGGACAGTCGTATGCTGAAGTGATGAAGATCATTATGCTTAATCAGAAAAATACAATATTTTTGAGAAAAAAGTACTGCATTAACACCACTGTCAAAAAAGACTTAACGTTTACTAGCTATTTACTGACATTCCCTAAGTGGCTCATTGAAAGAGCACGGGCGCATAAGAAACAGAATCGACCCACTAGGATTTTTCTGATTAAGCATAATGATACATATACCGTTTGATAGAGCACGACGAGACGAGCATTTGAGTGCTAAACTCGAGAGATTTTGTTAGAAATTATGATGCTTTAGGTCGTTTACAAAAACCACTCTTTTTCTCATAATTGCTCTTTGATGTACTTGGAAGGTTTGATTAGTTTTTTTGAAGAATAGACACAGAACTAACATGATGGTAATGTATTTTGTTGATTTTTACTGCTGATTTATTATAATATACAAAATATCAGTTAATCTTTCAATTTAAAGACAAGCATCTTCTTTACACTGATAAGCACTATATGTATATCTAATGAAATTAATCTCAGTTTGCATCAGCTACAAGACTATATTTTTTAAAGTTTAAACAATTTGGTCACACTGTTAAATCCTAGTTACAATGTGTTCAGAGATTTTATCGGTATAGTTCGGAAAGAGATGGGTAGCGTTCATAGTTTACTCATTCAAATCAATAGCGGAATGTGTCCTTATACAAAATGGTTAATCACAAGAATTGCTCAAGATCAAATCAATAAGTGATATAATCGATTTAACAATAATACAATTACAGTGCAAAGAATTATTAGAAGAACTTTCATTTTTTGTTCCAACTGATTAACTTAATAAAATTTTAATAGTTCTTTTAAATTAAATTTCATCGTTAATATCTTCATCTAGCCTTGATCATTTTTCACTACAAGGACATTTTTCGACGATGGTTTCTCGTACCATTTTGGTCATAAAGGATATTTTTTCCCAAAAAACCGTTTCTCAGAGACATTTTATAAGAAGAACTTTACACATCAAAGACCAGATATGAGAAAAAGAGTGGTTTTTGTAAACGACCTATAGCATCATAATTTCTAACCAAATCTCCCGAATTTAGCATCAAAATGCTCGTCTCGTCAGCGCCTTCATCCTTTAAAACGACATCTTTTCGTAAATTCATATAGAGAAAAGAAAGGTAAGTCTATGGTTTTCAAAAGAAAGATCATACATGGGAATTTAAATAACATTTGACAGCGGAGGGATTCGCGCTTCACATTAAGATGCACGAATAGTTTCAGAATAGGATAAAATATATTGCAACAGAGAAAACTGCAATTAATACTTAATGTATACATTTTCTAGACACACATAAAAGATTTTTCAAATAATAAAAAAATAAATAGAAGTACAGAGACCAGAAGGACAACAAAGAAACGGTACTTCTTAAGTAAATTCATGCGATAAACACAACAAATTATTTACCAAAAAGATATGTATTTGGTTTTCTTGTTATTCTTTCAGCAACACACAGCACATGAAACAAATTTATCAAAAAAGTAAGATGCAGACAAAGCAAACTTGCAGTGGAATTTATTTTTGCATTTATCATACACCGTTGGATAGAGGACTTCAAGGCGATTCAGAATATATATGCCTTGATTTTTAAACGCCGGATGATCAGACAACAGTGCACGTAAATCATCCAGTTTAATGTTCGATGGAAGTTTGACTTTCAGCTCTTTAGCAATTTCGACGAGACCTTTACTCAGACTCTTATTTGGTTCACTTTCAAAATAACAATGCAAAATATGTCCTTTTCCTTGTGTATCTGTATATTCTATTTTATCCAACGGACATCGAGTGCCACATGATTTACCGAAATCCAGTAAACTGTGTGATTTTGCCGTGTGTGTCCGTGCATTGGCGAGAACACATACAATCGTATGATCTTTATATTGTTCTTTAAATTCCAGTAACTGAAACAACCTTTCGAAGTGCTCGAGTATTGTGAAATTGTCGAAATAGCTATGTTGACCAACATTGATTGAAGCTGTAGCACCTCTCTCGACGTAATCAATACATTGATCGTATTCACTGTCAGAGAGGTTGAAGAACGGCCCAGACGGGTGTTGCACCAAGAAATCACTAATCATGTTCAATGGTCCTCCTCCTTTCGAATGAAATGGCGCTTCTTCTCCGAAGAACCACCGTTTTGCCGAAACCTCCCCGGAACGACAGGTACTTTCATCATGAACTAAATTTAGATAGCAAATAAGCTGCAACTCTCATTGTCAAAGAAATTAGAATAAGGTATTTACAGAGAAGAATACAAGGTGGTTTTTGAGTTGGTATTTTCCATACAGGCTTATCGCCATCAGACACTATGTAATAATAATCTTTTCTATCGAGAAAGTAATCAACGAATTGTCGACGGTGGTCAATCACATCCGGACGCTCATGACTCTCAAAATAAGGCCTAGTAGTAATAAGTTAGTCGTTTCATAATACTTTTTGTCGATGAAATTCGCTAAATTAATGGCTGTGAAATCGGCTGATTTCTGTGGACATCGCTCAAATGTAAATTATTTAGTGTCACTTTCTATTTTCGGAAAGTAATCATAAAATTCGACTTCGTGCTTACCACCATCGAATTTTTAAAATTAAGTCATATCACTTTTCATTTTTTTCTGATTTTACATACAAAATTGAATATAAAAAGTAATTCAGATACTTTTAGAACCTGATTGGCCGACTGAAATCGTTGAAGACCGGGCAGAACGGCTGGAACCCCACCCGAACTTCTTATAAGCCCATCTAGCTTTTTTCGTTAGCAGTTAGGCAAATTTTTTTTTCTTTATTTAAGTCATCACACTTGTGGGAAAAAAAGTTAGTATCGGTTTTGGAAAATGTTGTTCCGTTGTTGAGAAAATTAATTTTCTTGAAGCAGGTAGGAAAAAACAAGAAAATTCACTTGTATTTTGCAGTTTTCACTGTCAAATTTACATTTTTTGTAAAACTAATATCATATTTAGAATCAGCATCAACAACTGACTTGATAGATGTGTGTCTCAGGATTTCTGGGCAACTTTCGTTTGAAACTCGAACACGTTGTCGAACCCTTGTTTTTTCCTACCTATTTCAAGAAAATTAATTTTCTCAACAACGGAACATTTTTTCCAAAACCGATACTAACTTTTTTTCCCACAAGTGTGATGGCTTAAATAAAGAAAAAAAAATTTGCCTAACTGCTAACGAAAAAAGCTAGATGGGCTTATAAGAAGTTCGGGTGGAGTTCCAGCCGTTCTGCCCGGTCTTCAGCGATTTCAGTCGGCCAATCAGGTTCTAAAAGTATCTGAACTACATTTTATTTTCAATTTTGTATGTAAAATCAGAAAAAAATAGTACCAAAATTTTAAAAAGACAATAATCCCTGAAATTTTGCTGAATTTTGCCCATTTTTAAAAAATCAATATTTTAAAATTTTTTAAAGAAAAAAAGACTTTCAAAAATCCAGGTTTCAGTTTTTTCTAGGTAACTCGATGACCTCGATCTAATGATAAAAAAAAACATCAAAAACAAAATTTTGCTTATCTTTTGAATTGCCGGCACCTTAAGTATAAACATCATAAGTGTATCCTAAGAGTCATTGCATGAGAGAAACAACCTAATGCACTTCAGCTTGCCTAATTTTTTTTGAAACTTAATTCTGATTTTGCCAGTTCGTGGCCCTACTAAAGTTGAGTATATTCTAAAATTTTATCCTATAGGAGGGCACAGTGGGCATTTTTCCATAGAGCAGTATCAATGTCACTCGTTTTTTTGAGTTAAAAAATGCTTATTTTCGCATAATATGGTGGTATTATGCGCCAGATATTAATAAAAGTAAAAAAGCTCGAATTCAAAAAAAATTCCTTAGGCTTGTCCTGAATTTTTGTCAAAAAATATTTTGTGTAAAATTAACAGATTATGCATCTTGCGATGCAATTTTTCATGCTGATTCCGAATATCACATTAATTTTCAATAAAAGTGTTTCTTGACTAAGGAAATGGAAAATACCGCAAAAACCGGCGTATCTACGTCCAGAAGGAAAACCGCGTCCATCATAGGTGCATGATATGTGGACGGTCATTTTGGTATAATTTGTGCTGAACCAATAGTGAAACTGGACCTCAGCTCAGCAGCGTATCCAGGGAGGGAGGGCCAAATGGGCAATTACCCATTTCATTAGGAGATTTGCCCATTGAAATTTTACTTAGCAGATATAGCATGCGGTTTTTTTTTGTATAACCCTTAGAAAGATATATGTAAGAGTGCCTATAGACAGAATTGTTTGTTTATTTTTAAATTAGAATCTAATTCAAAAATTAAAAGAATCTCATTTTGTCCATCGCTTTTTTCCGATACAATAGAAGTTTGCCCATTGGACTAAAACTCCTGGTTACGCCGCTGCCTCAGCTAACTTTAGCGATCCGATTATGCTGAAGACAGCCACCGGAAACATCGTTTGGGTTCGGAAAATACCTTATTTCTCTGGTATAGTTGCTCTGAACTGAGATATTTTTTGCTAGTAGATATTTGAAATAGTCTGGGTTCCGAATATACACGTTTTACAAGTCTGCATTCTCTTAGTATTATAAGAAAATGTTTTTCCCATGGAAGTTACTTATCTCTAGGTCGATTTTACGTATACATTTTTTCCGAAAATCCGCCGCTTGAAACAAGCATTTTTGGGCCATTAGATAGCCTATCTATCGAATAGTTAGTGTTGTTGACCCGATGACTCATCGTTTTACTGTCAATTTTTATACAGCGCCCTCTCTCAACTTTCCCACATACGTTTGGCTCTAGGTTTTTTACAGATAACTAATTTGTGAAACCTAGAAGTTTTGTGCTACTTTTAGTTTATAAAATGCCGTTAAATGTTTTAGGCTCAAGAAACGTTATTATTGAGTCTACAGAATGCCATAATGGCTACGGTAAACTATAGAAATAACGTCTTTTTTTTGTTTGTCTATTGCATGTTTCTCTCGTTTTACTTCAAGAATGTACGATGTGATGATAGCTTCCGTTGTTATAAACCACAAATCCGAATTTTTAGCAGATTATATATCTGCTGTTAGTTTATCCCACATTTTCCATGTTAAAAGGAGGGAAACGTTCATTAAATTTTGAAGTTATCAAGAGCAATCCACTTCTGCAGTGCCATCTCAGCCTTGGACAGGC